GTCTCTCCCTTTATTTCAAGCTACTCTGAGTTTTATTGTTTTTCAGTCTTCAAGTCAAGTCCAGCACATGTTCTATTAGAAAGCTTATAAGTACTTTCAGGTATTATAAATGGCACTGGATTTTCAATGTTATTGTCTATGCTAGTATACAGAAATACAATTGGACTTGCATATTTGTCTTGTATGCTGTGACCTTGATGAATTCAGTTATTTGGTGGTTTTAAAAAAGAGGTTTTTTAGATGCATGTCATCTGCAACCTTTCTTCCTTAATCTGTATACCTTTCATTTCCCCTTTGTGCTTTAACTGCACTCGTGAGAACTGCCACTCCTGCGATGACTATGAATGATGAGAACAGACATCCTTAACTCCTGCCCAATCGGACAGGGAAAGAATTCAGTCTGTCACCTTCAAGAATAACACCAAAAAAAAAAAAAAAAAGAATAACACCAAGGGGAGCTCTGGTGGCCTAGTGGCAAGGAGCTGCAACTACAATCCCAGAGGCGCACGGTTCGAATCCACAAGATGCTCTGCTGGGGAAGGAGGGACAATCTCCTCCTGTACCAGTCAGATCTGATTTGACGGTACACTCACACAAAAAATAAAAAAAAAAAAAAAAAGAATAACACCAGGCTTAAAAGGTTTTCTACTGATACTCTTTTAGCAGAATGAGGAACTTCTCACTTCCTCTTTTTTCTGTGTATGTCATGATTGGGTGGTAAATTTTGCCAAATGCTTTGTCAGTCTGATTTCTTTGTTATTTCGAAGTCCAGCTTAGTTTCCAAGTATTTTTTAGTACATTCCAAGTATAGTTTGGTTCCTAAGTACTTTATTTGCTCAGAGAGCATCTGTATGAACTTGATTCTTTTCCACTGGTGGTTGTTATTGTTGTTATGTGCCGTTGAGTCGCTTGTGACTCATAGCAACCCTATGTACAACAGCTCTAAACTCTGCTCTGTCCTGTGCCAATCTCACTGCCTACAACACAACTCATCCCGATTGCCCCAGTCACCGAATCAATCCATCTCCCAGAGGGCCTTCCCCTCCTGCGCCTGCCCTCCACCCTCCCAAGCATGATGTCCCTCTCCAAGGACCAGTCTCTCCTTACAACATGACCAAAGTATGTCAGATGAAGCCTCAGAATCCTTGCCTCCAAGGAGCAACCTGGTTTTAACCCTCTCCAAGATGAATCTGTTTGTTCTCTTAACAGTCCATGGCACCTTCAGCACTCTTCTCCAACACCAAAGCTCAAAAGCATCAATTCTCCTTTTATCCTTCTTGGTCACTGTCCAGCTCTCTAATGCATAACAAGTGACTGCAAAGACCATGGCCTATACCAGACGCATCTTTGTCTCCAGAGACACACCGTTGCTCTTGAGTACTTTAGAGAGGTCCCTAACAGCAGACTTTGTCATGGCAATATGTCTTTTAATCTCCTGGCTGCTGGTGCCAAGATTGTTGATTGTGGAGCCAAGCAAACTAAAGCTATGCACAATCTCAGTCTCCTCACCATCCATCCTGATGCTGCCATTTGGTCCAGTGGTGAGAATCTTTGTCTTCTTGACATTGAGCCTCAATCCATATTAAAGGCTGCAGTCCCTGACCCTCAGCAGCAAGCACTTCAGGTCCTCCTCAGTTTCAGCAAGCAGGGACTCCATTGGTAGAGGTTGGTATATAGTCCAGGATAGCATTACTGTGGCCCACATCCCACAGCAATTGGAAAGACAATGTATTATTGTGCTGTGTGTGACAGCATATTCTATCATTGTTGCTCAGCTTCTGTTGGCTAGTGGAGTTCTCTGTTTTTTTCTTTTCATCATTTATTGAGGGGGTACTGAAGCTTCTACTATAATTGCATGTTTATCTACTCCTCTTTGAGTTCTAACAGTTTTTGCTTGACATATTCTTTAGCTCTGTTGTTTGGTGCACAAACACAGACTAATGAGGATGGACTGACTTGTAATCAGATTTAATGCTCCTCTCTGTCCCTAAGGAGCCCTGGTGCTACCGTGTATAAGGTACAAGGCTGCTAACTGAAAAGTCAACAGTTCAAATCCACCAGTTGCTCTGTAAAAGAATGAAGGACCATCTTCTCCTGTAATGATTGACAGCCTCGGAAATCCCCAGTTGGAAGCGACTTGATGGCAGATTGTCTCATCTGTCTCTGGTTATTTTCTCTACTTTTGTAGTCCTGCTATTAATATAGTCAATTCTGCTTTCCTTTGATTAATGCTTTTGTGCTATGTATTGTTCCATCTTTCCAACCTGTTAATATTCTTATACTTGAAGTGAGTTTCTCTCAAGTCATCTCTGGTGGCCTAGGAGCAAGCAGCTGCACTGCAATCCTGAAGGCATGCAGTTTGAGGCCACCAGCTACTTTGTGAGAGAAGGTCAATCCTGCTTTCCTTTGATGAATGCTTTTGTGCTATGTATTTTTTCCATCTTTTCACTTTTAAACTATTTATATTATTATACTTGAAGTGAGTCTCTTGTAAATAACATATATGTATCTCGTAGACAAGCGTTTGGTGTTTTGTTTTTTTTTAAATAACTCATTCTGCCAATTCTTGTATTTTAACTGGTATATTTAGGCTATGCATGTAATACAATTTTTTTTAAACATTTCATGGCTTAAATCTGTCTTTTTTTGGGGGGGGGTTCCTGTTTCTCCATTTTTTTCTTGCTTTACTACGTCTGACTTGAATATTTTGTAGAATTCTATTATGACACCTTTATAGGGTTTTGTATATATCACTTATGTAATTTTCACTGGTGGTGACTCTGAGTGTTATATTTATGTGCCTTATCATAACCTACTGACATTGACAGTATACTGTAATTAGCTCCCTTTATGTCTTTCTACACAGCTCCTTTTAAACAGTCTCACATCAGATAATGACTTGCTCTACACAGCTCCTTTTAAACAGTCTCACATCAGATAATGACTTGCTTACAACCATCAAAGACAACGTAAGAGAAGGAAGACCAATTATATTTACTCTTACTCGTGGTTTTTGCTTTACACATTCTTTCTTGATATCCTAAATTCCCTCTTTTATTGTTTCCTTTCCTGGAACAATTTACTTTCCTTGAGTAGGCTGTAGGCAATAAATTATCTTAGTTTTTCTTTGTCTGAGACTGTCCTGGTTCCCCTTGATTCTCAAAGGATATTTTCACCAGATAGAAGATTCAGAAATGATAGGCTTTGGGGGTTTTTTCCCCCCCAACAGTTGAAAAATACTGTGCTATCATCCCCTCCATGATTTCCAATGGCAAATCTGTGGTTAGTCTAATGGTCCTTCCCTCTGGGTGAGTTGCTATTCCTTCCTGGTTGCACTCAGAATCTTCACTTTCAGTGAACCTGGCATGGATCCTTTGGTCTTAAAGGTACACTAGACTTCTGGAGAGCATCACTTTGATTTATTTAAGCATCTGAAGTAAACATGTGGACATGAATCTAAAAGGCTGCCATAGTCACATCCTGTGGTGTGGACCCTGGAGGCGACCCAGCCCACCTTTCTGCCTATGTGTGGGGACTGAGTCCAAACCCCTTCCTCAGGCAGCTTCTCAGCTCCTCAGGCCTTCTCCAGGGGTGCCTGTCCTCCAGGGTGAAGGGAAGGTGGTATCTTTGCAGGTGCACATTTTATTACACAACTCTTTCTTTCCTCACTCAGGTAACTGTGAAGGTCAATGATAGTATATCTTACCAACCAGATCATCTATGTTTTCTACCATTTCTAGAGAAGAGAACCTGAACTCATCACACACCAAAGCTTATCAAGAGCTGAGGCAAACCCTTCTTTTAGCCTCCCTGAGGACATTTGGTTCAGTCATGTGTTCAACTAGTGCTGTTTTACATTTTTAAGTTCCCACAGGGATAGATTCTCATGGCTGCCTTTAAGGTTTGATGACGTTTCAAAGTAAGTTACTGTTAGGTATCATGGAGTGAAGTACAACTCACAGTGACCCTCTGAACAACAGAGTTGAACCCAGTCCTATCCTGCGCCAACCTCACCCTCTCTGACACACCTGAGCCCACTGCTGCCGTCACTGTGTCTGTCCATCTCGTTGTGGGTCTTCCTCTCTTCTGCTAACCCTCAATTTTTTCAAGCATGATGTCCCTTTTCACGTTAAATATAATTAAAATCACAGTAATCAAGAACAGTTCTGAATGTGCCCTCTTAACTACCACATCCAGGTGCAGCTTTCAAGCCACTAGTTAGGAATCATAGCTCAGGACACTCTAAATACCAGGACCACCAAGAATTCACAGAATGCCAGTACCCAGGTGCCCTGGATGAACTAAATTATGTGGGATTCAGGTAAGGAATGGCTGGTGCAACGCCAGGCTGGCGAAGCAGAATCACACACAGCCCTGAACTCACCACCGCCTTCGAGCGAGGACACAGTACAGCGCACTGAAGCCCAGCATCCTCAGGAGATGCTGTGACACCAAGTGCCTTGTGAGGGCCTGGCCAAGCCTGAGTTTTCCCACAAAGCCCAACACATCACATCTCACCTCTATCTCCACAGGCAGCCTCCCTGAGGACACTCCTCTGGGGAAAAGTTCTGTGAGCACAAAAGTGGTTAAAGTAGAAACATGCAAGGTCAGGGGACATCGAGAGTCCACAACTTGGTCTCCTGACAATCCAGCAGGATGAAGCTTGTGCACAGGGTCCTGCCTCCCCGCTCGGCATGAACAGACCTGGTTTCAGCTGGAGGCCAAAAGTGGAATAGGGCTGGAACCAGAACCTGACCCCAGACCTGGAGGATAGTTTGCAAAGAGAAACGCTGGACCGAGGGAGGGCCTGCACACTGAGGGGCAGCCACCTGGTAGAGCCCACTGCCATCACCCGAGGGAGACTCATATTCACAGGCCATAGTCACCTATTAGGCATGTTTAGAGCCCAGGACCACCAGCACAGGGCAGGAGGGGTTTGTCCACAGGCAGTGCCAAGGCGGCTGGGTGAGGGCCCATGGCCAGAACACACACCCACTTACCATTCATGTTCCAGGTGAAGGCGTCCCGCAACTTCTGCCCATCAATCTCCATGTCCAGTCGGATGGGCACCAGCACCTCAGGCTGGGAGGCATTCTCGTGGATGACGGCAGGGTCGTGGTCATCAAAGCTAGGAGATGGCAAAAGCACTCAGCAAGAGCCCAGGACACTGTACTGTGGGACCAACCAAGACACCATGGTACCACCCAGGACCCTGCTCCATGACAGTTGTCACCCAGGACACGGTGGTACCACCCAGGACACGGTGGTACCACCTAGGACACACTGCTCCATGATAGTGTCACCCAGGACACCATGGAACCACCCAGGACACCGTGGTACCACCCAGGACACCGTGATACCACTCAGGACACCGTGGTACCACTCAGGACACTGCTCCATGACAGTGTCACCCAGGGCCCCTGGGGTGCATGTTTTTAACTCCCTCCCTGCACCATGACCAATGCCAGAAGTTCCAAGGAACCATCCACGCCTCCTGGTAATAGAGGAGGCCAGAAATGGACTCAGGTAAGCTCCAGACGGAGCAGGGCCCAGCAAAACAAACTGTAGGCTTCTGACCTCCAGGATCTCCAGAGAATAAATACCTGTTGCTTAAGCCTCAGTCTGTGGTGACCTGTCACAGCAACCCCAGCACAATGATGTGGTGTAAGATATGGGGTGGCATTTCAAACCACAAGGTTGTACCCATTTCCAAAGGGCCTGGCCACCATGGTGAGGGGTTCTCCTAGGGTGCTGGAAGTAAGAGGCACAGCTGGGGACAGGCCTGGGAGCACACGGCTGGAGGTTGACCAAAGCCACGCTGAGAGGAAGAAGCCTTCTGGAACGTTAGCTCAGAGGGCTTTTCTGCGGGAACGACATTAGACTGCGCTGGGAAACAAGGGTCAACCTCAGTGGAGGGGTGGGCTGGCCTTGCGCTCACCAGAGAGGGAAGGTCCTCTTCTTGTCTCGGCCCATGCGGTTCCTGTTGATGGTGGTGGAACAGGGCACAGCGTCCAGGTGGTGGGAGCTATTGGGCAGGGTGGGCACCCACTGGCTGTTCCTCTTGGCTTTCTGTTCCCTGGGAAGATACAGGAGAAGGCCTCTTATCAGCCGGGAGCACTGCCAAGCCAGCAGCAGTGAAGGTCAAGGCACAGTTGCACTCACAGTCCGTGAGGGTATAAATCCTGGTCCTACCTGCCACATCAGCCCTGGGGGCCGAGTGTACCCCACACTTGCTTGTCAAGCTCCCAGCTCCCTAAGGACAGAGATCCAAGGTCCCAAACAGAGAAGGATAGCCCAGTCCGAAGTGATCAGGGGCCCCAACAAGTGTCCTTGGGACTTCTGCAGGACCAGCCTTCTCCTCCATGGGACAGATGCTATGGGGAAGGTTACAGAAGCTCAGGTGCACAGGAGCCTGACATCGACAGCATGTGTGGGGACACATGCAGCCATGCCACAGAGTGTGATGACACGTGCAGCTGTGCCACACTGGAGGCACATATGACAACATGCAGATGCAACAAGCGCATGGGATGGCACATGGTTGACACACAGCGAGCACACGGGACGGCACATGGCTGAGACAGAGAGAGCACTCGAGATAGCAAACACGCGATGACGCACATGGCTAAGACACAACATGAATGCAAGATGACACATTATGGACTTGGGGCCCAAGTCACACGATGATGAAACCTTCCCTCCACTACGAGACACTGCATCCTGAGGGGGTTCCCCCCTGCACCCCTAATGCCTGCAGTGGGTTAAGTAGCTACTGGTGCTCTGCCAGGTTTGGCACTCCTACTCCTGTTACTCTACCAGACACTGCAGCCATGTCCCTTTCAGCTGCCCCAGCCCCAGCATTCTTATAACCAGGGAGCTCTCAGTTGGGGGTGGGGGGACAGACTTGAAAGGACCCCCGACTATGTGTGTGATTTCCTGCACGGGCCCCTCGGGAAAGGGCCAGCTTGCATCTATTCTCGTTACACTCCTTGGGGGCAGAACTTGCCACACACATGTCCTCAGGATGCCTCTAGACACACACCCACAAAAACAGTCCTGTGACAAAACCAGAGAGTGAAGCGCCTCTCTGCACACAAGCCAACCCTGTTTATTGTGTCCCTGGGCCTGGGCCTATTTCTCTCATTGCTGCCGAGTAGGATGGACTTTGAGCTGACCTCATAGTGGGTTTGCAAGGTGGTAAATCACATGGGAGAAGACTGCCCATCTTTCTCCCGCAGAGCTGTTGGTGGATTTGAACTGCCTGAAGTGCTGTCAGTGGGCTAGCAACACAGCTTTCTGCCCACTCTGCTACCAGTGCCTATTTCTTGAAGGCAAGACACATGAAGCAAGCAGACACCTAACACTGTTGCTGTGTGGTGTCATTAAGTAATTACACTCACAGTGGACCCTGATGAAAGACAGACAGAGGCCGTGCCCTGGCTGGTGCCAGGGCACCATCTCCACCACACTCAGGGCCCTCGTTGTGCTCATACCTACGTAACATGAGTGAGTGCAATTCTGCACTTAGCTTGCCTCATGGGATCCATGTTTGGGGTTACCATAGAATCCATCTGGCAAGAATGGGAGGGTCATAGCCAGGCTGAGTGGCTGTTCCCAAGGCTCAGGACACCTTGCTGTGTCCATGGCTCTTCAGAGAACAAGTGTGTGTAAGCAGACACACCTGATGGGGACACCAAACCACCTGATGTCACAGCTTTGTGTGAGGGTGCTGGTGGGGAGTCACCACCTGATGTCACAGCTGTGCGTGAGGGTATTACACGACCTGATGTCAAAATTGTGTGTGAGGGTGCTGGTGAGAAGTTACCACCCAATGTCACAGCTGTGTGAGTGTGCTGATAGGGACACAGGGACACACCACCTGATGTAACAGTCTTCCCAAGGGCACCCCACACACAAGGCAATAGTACTCTGTTTGCTGCTGGTGTTTCTACTCTAAGTTCTTTGTAATACCCTGGATAACCCCTTGCTCCTCTCATCTGCTTACTCCCTCACTAATCTGAGGGAAGCCAAGTATTTTTTTCCTCATGGGTTTGCACACACCTTCCACATAACACAGCAACTCCCAGCCTACTATCTGCCTTTGGATTTCAGCACAAACACTCTCTTAGAGGCTCTTGGTTTTTCCAAGTCAAATTCACTTCTCTTGCCCGCATGCTTTCTTACAAGTTATCCATTTTGATATCAAAAGCTGTCTCAGCAACTTGCTGGGGCTGAAACTTGACTGACAGTTCTTATCAAATCCAGTGAGATAGAACCCAGAGGGGCTATTCGACACCTGTGCACACAGGTGGAGTGTTCAAGGCTCAGGCCCCGAGGGGGCCAGGCTACCATGTGTGAGGAGTAAGCTAGGCTTGGCGTGCCCAGCTCAGGAAGCATACCTGAGGTAGGTGGGAGGCTCTGTGCTAATGGAGACAGCCTTGTACTTCTCGTCATTGCCATCCAGGATCTCTTCTACCTCTGAGGCCTTCAGGAGGGTCACGCTAGTGGCCAGCGTCGTGTAGCCATGATCTGTAACCGAGAGACACTGCATCAGCTGGGCTGCAGGGAGGGCAGCGGGGAATTGGGCAGCAGTCAGCATGGGCACTGCACATCAAGGACCTTGCATGCAGGATGCGGGGGTACTAGGTGTCAAAGCCACTGCAACCCAGCCTGGTCTCTGCCAGAAGGGAGAGGCCCTGTCCCACCAGTGACAAACCACGGGTTTGTGTGTGCTGCTGCATCCCAGAGACGGGATGCCCAGGGACATCCACCCCAGACTCAAGACCAAGTATTCTGGGCCCTCAGAGAGGACAGTGGCCTGGGGGGAGGAAACTGGGGTGCAGAGGTTTTACACACTGTAACTCAACACAAAGCAGGGTGGAGGGATGGAATGAGAGATGGAAACGCTTTCTTTTAAAACAAGAGCCAGGAGAGCTTGAAGGAGATGCTTCCCCCAAAGACATGGCTTCCCAGGTGCCATAAGGGATCCTCCGTGGAAAGATTCTCCAGAGATCCGACTCATTCCGGGAAGTGTCGCCAGGCGCAGGGGCACTGCAGCCAGGACCTGACTCCAGCCATGTGTGGGGCAGCACCATGCTGGATGGGCCAGGCAGGCACAGCAGGGAAGCAGCGCTGGCTCCTGGATTAAAAGAATCACTACTCTACCCACAGCAAACAGGACCATAGCAGCCGGGCAGAACCGGCCCATTCTGAAGCTGTGTACACACGTGCTCACGTGCACACAAGCAGTACACATGTCTGCACGCGCGTGAGCGCACGCACACACACATGCATGCACACTTGAGCATGCACGCACACATGCACATAGGCACATGTGATACACACAGCATACACACAACGCACAAGCATGCATATAACACATTCAACCGTGGACACATAAGCATGCACACAGCACACACCACGCACGCGCACACATCTCACATGCGCGCACACACCCTAACATATACAAACACTCCAGGCGACCTTGGCCCGGGCTGGACAGCTGTCTACAAGGCGTCTCTGTGAGCAGGCTCCGACGCCTCCCTGGCACCCGGGGGCTCCCACTTGGGGTCTTTCCTGGGGAGATTACAGGACTAGCAGCCTCACCCTGTACAGAGCTGCCACAGCCAGAAGTACACCTGTTGTACGCTAGGGTCACACTTGAACCCCAGGCCACACAGCCCGCCCAGAGCCCAGCATGCAGGTGGGCTCGCATGGCTGCCCACAGGGACACGACTACGAATGACGTGCTTTTGAAAGCAAGCGGTGAGTCCCTGGGAGTGGGCGGCAGGTGACCACCCACAGCTCAGGCAGCATGGAGGATGATGGACACGCCACACAATGGCAGGGCATCACAGCATGCCTAAAACGTTTTGAGACCAGCGTGTCTTCACGGCACCCCGCTCCCAGCCCCGGTCCTCCCTGCCCCCTGAGACCCCTGAGGAGAGGCAGCCAGCGCCACGGGCCACTGGGTGACAGTGGCCACAGGATAGCACTTCTGGGGACACCCTGGCAGCGTACGCCCAAGGCGGGCAGCGGTGAAGACACTGGCGTGAAAACGTTTTATCTCGATGACAGAAGCGAGTGGTTTTGAAACAGGTTTACAAACCCTCGTGAAGACGCACCCTTAGTGTTAGGTTTTGTTTTTTTACCATGTGACGATGCAACTATTTTCTTCCTTTCTTCCACAGTGGCTAGCCGCCTCCACAGTGAGGGGTACCTCTTGTACAGAGAACCTCGGAACATACGAAGGTAGTTCCCCACCTGTGAGTGAAGCGGGGAGAGTAGTTATGAGGGGCCTCGGCAGGGAGGAGGACCTGGGCAACAGACGTCAGCCACCAGTGTCAAGGGTGCAACGAAGGGTCATATTGGCCAGGAGTTGCCCCACAGGGTGGAGTCCTATCAGCCTCCTGACAAATGGACCACACAGGAAAGGCTAGAGCAGGTACTGGCAGAGTTCCTCTTAGCTTCCCAAGATGCCCCCTGAGGTTCTGACTTGGACCAGCGGCTTCAGGCACACTCCAGTTACACTTGGCCTCTGGGGCTTTCCTTAATCTTCAGAAGGAGACTTTGATGTTTTTACAAGGGAATAAATACTGGAAAGGTCTCTTAATTTCAGACAGATGGGAGATCACCCTCTGCATTACTTTGTTTAGTAAAAGCAGCAGAAACCAGGAAAAACAACATAACCTGTTGTGTTAAAAGCCAAACGTTATCAGCAAGCAGTACACTTCAGGGTGAGCAGACGCTCCTGAACAAAATTGGTCTCTTTGTCCCTGTAACCTAACTTCCTTCAGGGAAAGGTAATCTGTCCCTCAAGTTTTTATGAAGAAGCCACACTGTCCAGCTGACCCTACACAGCCGTTGTTCAGAACCCCATGGCTGGGTACTGGCTCCCCCAGATCCCAGTGTCTCTTGACTGCTGTCAAATGTTCTGCACCAATGACCACTGTTCCTCAAAGTGAGGGACCACTTTGTCATCCCAACTCTTACACTATCAAGCAGAAGCTGGTTTCTCCAAGTTTTATGCATCAAAGACCTGCAGAATACTCAAGCAGAGCCTCTGCATAGTCCCTCCAAATCCCCAGCAGAAAGCACAGCTGCTGGTCACCATGAGCCCCAGCCAACGCCATCAAGGGTAGACACACACTTCCCATGAGGCATCTGAACACGCTTCTCATTATTGCCCTGAGGGGCAGCCCCTCAAAACTTCAGCACTCAGGAGATGCCAGCATCAGGCCTGGACCCAGATGAACTGTCAAACAAAGGTGATATACCAGGGCTCTCTCAGCTGTCACTACGGCCTGATCTGACCACAACTGCCTGCAGATGCCAAGAGTACAGGACACAAGCTCATAGCAGCAGCAAATGCCACTCTGTGGGGTGCATGGAACACAGAGGCTGTGCCCAGGGACAAAGGTTACCCATCCAGCAGCTGTGGGGACATGGGGTGGAGGGGACCCCAAACAGCTTTCTGGCCTTAACTTTGTCCCTGAACTCCAGTGGGCTGCTATTTTTGTTGAGCCTAGTCTGAAAGAACAGTTAGAACTCATCTACCCAGAGCTCTGCAGACCAGGCCAGGCACATGGACTCTTTAGAAAGAACTTTCATGTAACAAGCAGGCACAGGAGCAGAGTGGCTGAGACAGAAGGCTGCTCTTAGCCTTCTAAAAACCTACAGTGTGCTCCACAGAAGGTCTTCAAGACCATGAGGTCCCACACAACTGGGACACTGTCAACAATTTCATTTCACTTGGGTCCAAATCAACATCCACCAAAGCCAAAAAATCCAGACAATTGCACTGAGAAAATGTGCTGTGTCACTTTAAAGAATATATATCTGTGGGGCTCTCGTGGCTTAGTGGTAAGGAATTGTGCTGCCAACACAAAGTCACAAAGTTCGAGTCCATTAACTGCTCTGTGGGAGAAGGATGGGCAATCTCTGAAAGCCTGCTAGAGGGAAAGCTATGGGTTGTTCCAACTCAGTGGTATACAACAACAACAACACGAATCTGAAAATTGGAGAATAAGCAGAGAAAACTGAAGAAGAATCGATGCCTCTGAGCTGTGGTGCTGGAGAAGAGTACTGAATATTCCATGGACTGCCAAAAGAACACACAGATATGTCCTGGAGGAAGAGAATCCAGGGTGTTCCTTAGAGGCAAGGATGGTGAAACTTCCTCTCACATACTCTAAGCATGTTGTGAGAAGGGTTCAGCTCTTAGGGAAGACATCATGCTGGGAAAGGCTGAAGGTCAGAGAAAGAGAGGAAGACCTTCAACAAGATGGATTGGCACAGTGACTGTCACAATGGGCTCACAAACTGTGGACATGAGGACAGCACAGGACAGCGCAGGGTTCAGTTCTGTTGTTCTCAGGGCCACTATGAGCTGTAGTCAACTTGAGGGCACCTAAGACCTCCTGCAGAAGGTCTTCAAGACTATGCACTCGGAGCACCTTGCTGCACAGATGAGAACCGTGACAGGCAGAAAAGGCTAGAAGCCGCCTGGTGCCCTTCCCACCTGGCCGTTGTGCCTTCCCAGCTACTTCTAAGACTTCCAATTTGCTCCACTGAAGAAAATGCAACTTCCTTCTAAAAAGGTCCACCCATTCCAAGTGAGAGTTGTGCTGACAGCTGTCTGTCTTTTAGATCAGGTAAAGGTTTCCACACACAGAATTTACTTTATGAGTCCTGCATGCAGGACGGTCCCAACAGGCCAGCGAAACCCTCAAGGCCTTCTCTGAACACAGCTCTTGTGTGATCTCATGCACAGGGTACTTACTGTTCACAGACCCTCCAGTTTTGTAAACACTGCAGCAGCATGGAAACGCTTAAGTTCCAAGACAAGCAACAACTCTGACCTCACAAGTTTGAACGAGACAAGACAAGGGCATGAGGGCCATCACAGGTTCAGCAAGACAAGCCCAGGCTGGATTCTTTCGCACTACATTCAAGGGTGAAGAGAGGGACAAAACTTTATAGAACATGAATGAGATGCTAGGTATGATGTTGAGACTGACTACATAAGTGGTTCTCAGCCTTCTGTATCTGCTTTGTAGGACAGACATTCCTTCCTTAAAGACTTCAGTGTATGCTACTTGCATCTGGGAAGTGTATTTGTACCCATGAATTTAAAAACAAGGAAAAGATATTAGTTGAGAGCCACTTTTAGATCAAACTCAAAAAACCTCAAGCTCGGTGCCACAGTCACATGCCACACACAGAGAGGCTCCATCAGGTTATAAAACGTAATGGGAGAAGAAAGCCCATCTTTCTTCTCTGGAGCCACTGGTGGATTGGAACTGCCAGAGACACAGAGCCTAGTGCTAATAAAGACTCCCCTAAGAACTAGGCCACCAGAGCGGATATGAGGCAATGTGGCAATATTTAACACATTTCGTACAAACGGCTACTATACAAGGGTCAGTGGTAGGACTTTCCTAAAGCCAACTGATATTTCTCACACTCCTAATTGAGGATTAATGATGATATTCCGCCATGCCCCCGAACCCTTCAGATCTCCAAAGCATCCATCGCTCCTGAAGTGCTGAGAGCAAGCTTCTCTGCCCTGCCTGCTTCCTCACTGATAAATCAAAGCTCAAAACATCGCCGCTGGCACCAAGAGAACGTGGAGCGGGAAAAGAGACCTCACTGTACCCCAAGTTTCCAAATCCCGATTTTCAGGCTCGTGACAGGTTATGGGGCAGGGTGCATCTCATAACCAGTTTGAGTTTCCCAAGGGCCTAACCAGGAAGCCTCGTTTCTCTGCATCTAGCTGGCAAAGGATTACCTCGACATCATCACGAGGGAACCACGCGGGGCCAAGACCATAGGGAACTCGACGCAGACGCAGACTCCGGGCGGAGCCAAGACAGACCACGCCCCTGCCATGCTGACTGCGCCACTCACGAGGCGGAGCCCGAGTAGACCACGCCCCCTGACCCTATCCCTGCCATGCGCGCTCCCGCTGCAATGAATGGGGGATCCAAGGAGTCGGATAGGGCCTGGATAGGCCACACACACCCCCGCCACGCCCCCCCGGGCCATCCGCGCGCGGCCGCCGAAATGAATGAAGCTTCCGCGGGCGGGATGGGGAAAGGTCGCGCCGCGGGTACCTCAGATCCTATCATGTAGAATTCGCCATCGTCCTCCAGCTGGAACTTGACGGGCTTCTGCCCGAAGGTCTTGCTTAGCGCCATCATCATCATTGCGGCAACAGAGGCGGTCGGCCGGGGCCAGACTACGAAAGGCCGGGAGGGCTGAGGCGGGCCGAGATGCGCCGCGCCGAGAGGAGCTGAGGCCGGGTACTAGGCCCGTCGTAGAATCTGCAGCCACCACCACTGCCACCACCGCCACTGCTGCCTAGGCCGCTCTCAATGCGCATGCGTAGGCGTTGACGCTAACGCGCGCGCCGCCACAGGAACAAAAAGATTAGGGCGTGCTCCCGCGAGTTCCTTAAAGAAACCGCGACTCGTTTCTTTATCCTGCCAGGTTGATCCTCCAAACTGATCAGATGAGAGGGGTTTTTTTTTGTTGTTGTTGTTTTTAAATTTTTTTATTTTTTATTTTTACAGAGGTTTTGGATTTCCATTCATTCATTGCCGCAATTTTCTCCCTGCCCACCCCTCCCCACCAGCTCGCTTCCCCCTCCGAAG